CGGCGTTTTTTAGATTTGGCTTATTTCGAGTTCGAGCCTTCATCCAATGGGTGCGGTGGAAAAAAACACGCACACACACATACACAAACACACACACGCGCACACACACACACACACGCACACACAGAAACACACGCACACACGTAAATAAACAAACAAGGCAGAGCCCGGGCACAAACATGAGCCTGGTGAAGGACCCAACCAATTGCAGTTGTGAGTAGCGCAATTGTGATGATCGTCTTCAGTGAAGCTCTCTATCGGGCTGATGTGCCGAAATGTGTGCGGCAGGCGCGTGCGAACGCAGCCGCTGGGGCCTTCGGTGGAGCTCCGAGTGGGGGCGCGACGCGTGTGAGGAGTGCGCCAAAATGTGTGCGGCGGGCGCGCGCGAACGCAGCCGCTGGGGCCTTCGGTGGAGCTCCCTATGGGGCCACGAAGCGTGTTAGGGGTGTGCCGAAATTGACGTTGCGGGCGCATGCGAACGTAGCCACAGGGGCCTTCGGTGGAGTTCCCGATGGGGCCACGAAGCGTGTGAGGGGTGTGCTGAAATTTGCGCGGCGGGCGCATGCGAACGCAGCAACTGGGGCCTTCGGTGGATTTCACGATGGTTCCACGAAGCGTGTGCGGAGTGTGCCGAAATCGATTTGGCGGGCGCCTGCGAACGCAGCCATTGGGGCCCTCGGTGGATTTGACTATGGAGCCACGAAGCGTGTGAGGGGTGTGACGAAGTGGGTGCGGCGCGCGCATGCGAATGCAGCCATGTGGTCCTTCGGCTGAGCTCCGAACGGGGCCACGAAACGTGTGAGGAGTGTGCCAAGATTGGTGCGGCGGGCGCATGCGAACGCATAGGACTCCTTATTTGGCCACTAAGCGTGTGAGGTGTGTGTGTGTGTGAGTGCCAAAATACGCATGGAGGGCGCATGCGAACGCATCCACTGGGGCCTTCGGTGGATTGCACTAACAAGCCATGGAGCGTGTGAGGGTTGTGCCGAAATTGGTGCGGCGGGCGCATGCGAACGCAGCCGCTGGGGCCTTCGGTTGACCCCCAGCGGGGCCACGCAACGTGTCAGAAGTGTGCCGACATGGGTTGGGCGGGCGCATGCGAACGCAGCCGCTGGGGCCTTCGGTGGAGCTCCCTATGGGGCCACGAAGCGTGTTAAGGGTGTGCCGAAATTGACGCTGCGGGCGCATGCGAACGTAGCCACCGGGGCCTTCTGTGGAGCTCCCGATGGGGCCACGAAGCGTGTGAGGGATGTGCTGAAATTTGTGCGGCGGGCGCATGCGAACGCAGACACTGGGGCTTTCGGTGGATTTCACGATGGTTCCACGGAGCGTGTGCGGGGTGTGCCGAAATCGATTTGGCGGGCGTATGCGAACACAGCCATTGGGGCCTTCGGTGGATTTCACGGTGAACACAGCCACTGGGGCCTTCGGTGGATTTCACGGTGGAGCCACACAACGTGTGAAACGTGTGCCGAAATGGGCGCGGCGGGCGCATGCGAACGCAGCCATTGGGGCCTTCAGTTGGGCTCCTATCGGGGCCACGAAACGTGTGAGGAGTGTACCAGGATTGGTGCGGCGGGCGCATGTGAACGCGTGGAGCTCCTCATGGGGCCACGAAACGCGTGAAGTGCGTGTGTGTGCGTGTGCCAAAATGTGCACAGTTGGCGCATGCGAGCGCATCAGCTGGGGCATTCGGTGGAGCTCCCCATGGGGCCACGAAACGTGTGAGGGGGGGCTGAAATTTGCGCGGCGGGCGCATGCGAACGCAGCCGCTGGGGCTTTCGGTGGATTTCACGATGGATCCACGAAGCGTGTACGGGGTGTGCCAAAATGTGCACGGTGGGCACATGTGAACGCAGCCATTGGGGCCTCGGTGGGGCTCCCCAACGGGCCACGAAGCGTGTGCGGGGTGTGCCGAAGTGGGTGCGTCGGGCGCATCTGGACCCAGCCACTAGGGACTTCGGTGGAGCTCCCTTTGGGGCCACGGAGCGTGTGAACAGTGTGCCGACATTGTTGATTGGTGCAGAGGGCACAGGCAGGTATGGGACGGGGGAGGAGGAGGAGGAGGAGGAGGAGGAGGAGGAGGAGGAGGAGGAGGAGGAGGAGGAGAGGAGAGGAGAGGAGGGACGCGGGGCGCTGCCTTTTCCAAAGCGAGGACCCAACACCACAAGATGGTTGGGAAAAACATACGCGCAGAACTGCACAAACGGCCTCCCTCACCTGCTCTTCCTCCCCGCTCGCCCTCCGCGCACCGGTGGCCCTGCGGCCGTCGTCCGCGCCCCTCTCCTGCGCCGATCGCCCCCGCGCCCCTGCGGCCTGCAGCAGAGAGGGGAGGCCAGGGAACGTCGGACGGTCCGCTCTCGCTGCCGCCCCTCCTGAAGAGAGCAGAGGAAGAGGAGCAGGAGGAGGACGAGGAGGAGGAGGAGGAGGAGGAGGAGGAGGGGGAGGAGGAGGCAGACGAGGAGGACGAGGAGGGCGACGCGACGACGACGACGACGACGACGACGACGACGACGACGACGACGACGACGACGACGACGACGGCGACGGCCACGGTGACGGCGACGGCGACGACGAGGCAAGAGGGAAGTGAGGATGGACGGGGAGGAAGGGGGGAGAGGGGGAGAAAGAGGAGGTGGAAGGTCAGGGGGGAGGAAGATGGAGGAGGAGGAGGAGGAGGAGGAGGAGGAGGAGGAGGAGGGGCAAGATACCGCGCAGGATGACGAGGACGAGGAGGGGGAGGAGCCGGAGGAAGGGGCAGACGAGGACGAGGAGGAGGAACACGTCGACGACGTTGGTCGGTCGGACGCGGCATGGCAGCAGCCTGCGTGCCGATCATCGGTTGGCGTCTTGTTTCCCCCAGAGCCGAGGGTGTCCTCCCTCCCTCCCTCCCCCTCCCTCCTCCTCTCCCTCCCTCCCTCCCCTTCCCTCCCCCCCTCCTCCTCCTCCTCCTCCTCCTCCCTCCTCCTCCTCCTCCTCCTCCTCTCCTCTCCTCTCCTCTCCCTCTCCTCTCCTCTCCTTCCTCTCTCCTCCTCTCCCTCTCCTCTCACTCCTACCTCCTCTCCTCCCTCCTCTCTCTCTCCTCTCCTCTCCCTCCTCCTCCTCCTCCTCCTCCCTCCTCCTCCTCCTCCTCCTCCTCCTCCTCCCTCCTTCCTCCTCCTCCTCCTCTCCTCCTCCTCCTCTCCTCCTCCCTCCTCCCTCATCCCCTCCTCCCCTCCTCCCCCCTCCTCCTCCCCTTCTCCTCCCTCCTCCTTCTCCTCCTCTGCTTCTCCCTCCTCCTCCTCGCTCCCACCCTGCTGGGGTGCGCACCCTGCCCGACCCCGCCCCCCCCCCCCCGAGCGAAGGGTGTCACCCAGCACGGAGACGCCAGGCGGACCAAGGCACGCAAACAGCAGAGTGGGCGGAATCCTCCAGTTCCTCCAGCTCCCCCTCCTCCACCCCTCCTCCAGCTCTCCCTCCTCTTCCTCCTCCTTCTCCTTCTCATTCTGATTTCTCCCCTCCGTCTCCCTCCACGCCCCCCCCCCTGCGTAAGTATTCCCGTTCCTTCCCTACGACGCCGAGGAAGAGAGGGGGCAGCAGATGGCAGGGCTGCGGAGGGAGGCGGGAGAGGAAGGCGCAGGACGAGGAGGGGGACGGCGACAGAGAAGTAGGTATGAGACGGGGGAGGCGGGAGCAAGGATGGGGAGAGAGAGAGAGAGAGAGAAGGCGGAGGAGGACGAGGACGAAGACGACAACGACAGGTGACGACGAAGACAACGACGACGAAGACGACGACGAAGACGGCGACGAAGACGACGACGACGATGGCAAAAACGACGACGACGAAGACGACGACGAAGCCTACGACGACGAAACCGATGATAAAACCGACGACGACGACGATGGCGAAAACGATGAGGACGACGACGACGGCCACGACGACGAGAAGGGAGGCGTGGGCGCTCCAGAAGCCAAAGCAACAAACAGGCAGCTGCAAGGCTCCTGGTGCGTCCAACAAGTCAGAGTATCCTCGCCTTCTTTGACGTTGTTCTCGTTTTCCGTTGTCAGCCTCGTCGTCACCTCATCCCAATCCGATTTCTCGCCATCATCCTGCCCACTTCCTCCGCCACGCCCCGTCACATCTCCCCCGCGGAGACGCGGAGAAGGACCACGACGACAGCGTGGAGCGAGGTGGAGGAGAAGGAGCAGCAGGATCAGCACACTCCAGGTTAGTCCGATGCAGGCCAAGTGGGCCCAGAGACACCACAAAAGAGCCGCAAGAGAACCCAAAGATGGGTCACGGGGGCCTAAAGACGGTCCAAGAGGTCCCCGCCAGGCGCCTCAAGGGTCCGAAGAGGCGTCCCCGGCAGCCTCGGACATCTCCAGGGCGGCCCACGATCACGTCCACTGGGGCTCCAAGGTAGCCCAATCAGAGTGCACCCCAGCGCTTCTCCTCCAACGTGCAGCCCAGGTATGAATGTGTTATTTCACACGCAAACCGCTCGGAAGGAAGACCATGCCAAAGGATGTGTCAACCTCGTACTCTTTTGCAACGCGAACACACCATCACGAGAGAGTCGTGCTGCGCGGAAACCAGAAGGACTGTGCGCCATATGTGGAAAGAGTTGCTCCAACCAAAGTTGGCCGGAGGGGTGGCCAGGGCACTTTTATTCGGTGGGTAGACTTGTACATATCGGGTCGGGCGAAAGGGGGGGATTGGGAAAGGGGGGGTTACGCGACGCCCCTGCATTGCAGCTGGTTTCGGCCTCACCGAGGGGCCCACTCCTCGATACATAGCCGCCTCCGGCGCCGGGAGGCGCCGGGAAAATCAGCTACGTGAGCTGATTCTCAAACCCCCCCTTTGCTATCCCCCCCTTTCGCCCGACCCGAACATAGCATGAGAGCAGGTGCTGACTGCCCGTGTCAAGACGGCCCGCTCGAGCTGGGAACTCGGAGCTCTGGAGCTCGCGCGGCCCGATCCTCGCGGCGGCTGGCGGAGTGCACGGAGAGACGGGCGGCAGGGGCCCATCGTGCTCGGCAAGCTGCAGTACTACGCGCTGCCCAGGGTGACCTTCGTGCCAGCCATCGCCCGCGTCGGCATACGGACGCCGCTGCTCTCTGCGCTGGCGCCGCGCCGCATGCAGCAAAGGCTCCGAAAGAAGGGCAGCGCGGGGCTCCGGAGGAGGAGGAGGAAAAGGGAGGGAGGAGGAGGAGGAGGAGGAGGAGGAGGAGGAGGACGGAGGACGGAGGACGGAGGAGGAGGAGGGAGGGGTCGATGCCGGGGGGTAGGGAAGGGAGAAGGACGGAGGAAGAGAGTGGCAGTGAGGAGGAGGGAGGAGCGAGGAGGAGGAGGTCGAGGAGGAGGAAGGGAAAAGGGGGGGAGGAGGAGGAGGAGGAAGAGGAGAGGAGGAGGAGGTGGAGGAGGAGGAGGAGGAGGGAGGAGTACGGAGGGGAGGAGGGAGGAGGAGGAGGAGGAGGAGGAGGCGGAGGAGGAGGTTACGAGGAGGAGGAGCAGGAAAGGAGGAGGAGGAGGAGGAGGAGGAGGAGGAGGAGGAGGAGGGGGGAGGAGGAGGAGGAGGAGGAGGAGGAGGAGGAGGAGGGAGGAGGGACGGGGAAGAGGAGGAGGAGCAGGAGGAGGAGGAGGAGCAGGAGGAGGAGGGAGGAAGGAGGAGGAGCAGGAGGAGAGGAGGAGGAGGAGGAGGAGGGGAGCAGGAGGATGAGTGAGGAGGAGGAAGGAAGAGGAGGCGGGGGCGGAGGAGGAAAGAGGAGGCAGGAGGAGGAGGAAGAGGGAGGGGAGGAGGAGGAGGAAGAGGAGCGAAGATGACGTAGGAGGAGTGAGGAGGGGGTGGAAGGAAGGGAGGCAGGGAAGGAAAGAAGGAAGGAGGAAGGAAGGAAGAGGAGGACGCCGCTCCGCGGATCTGGGTCGGGGAGCCCGTTCGCGGCCGAGGCCCGCCGTGGCCGGAGCAGCCACTGCGCCGCTGACTCCGCGAGAGCGGCGCGGTGGCTGCAGGGTACGTTCCCAGACCTCGGACGTCGTGATGCGTCCTCCTCCTCCTCCTCATCCTCCTCCTCCTTCCTCCTCCTCCTCCTCCTCCTCCTGCCCCTGCCCCTCCTCCTCCTCCTCCTCCTCCTCCCTCCGCCTGTCAGCGAACCGCGTGCCTACGAGGCGCACTTTGGAGGTCTGGACCTTCTCGATGGGTGCGATGATCGCCCCCTCGAGGGGAAGCGGATCTGCCCCTCGTCACGTCCTGGTGTGCTGTCTTCGACTCCGGGTGGCATGGCCCCCGGACTCCCCGGCACGATATGCGAGATGGACAGCAAGCGGGCGTGTCCGTTGTCTCCCCCTCGCCGCTCCCTCCCTCTTCTCAAAAAAATAACTTTGGAGGTCTGGACTTTCTCCCCGGGGCTTGGGCTCGTCATCCTGCGTCGTGGTTTGACGGTCCTGTGGCCTGGTATTGGGCGACCAGATTTGTAATATACGCATCTTCTGCTCCCAGTGCTGGCCCATCCCGAGCCCATAAGCTGTGCATATGCCCTCCTGGCTAAGCCAGGAGGGCTTGGCTTATATATATATATATATATATATATATATATATGTATATGTATAATCACCGCTGTCGGGTTCAGGATGGGTCTGGCCAGGGAGCAGTGGATACGTATAGACTTCTTCGCCCTGTGGAAAGGCCCCCGGAGGCCCAACAGTACCACAGCATGCCCGTTGTCCCCGGCCGCCCCGCAGCGGGCCCCGCCGCGTGAGCGCTCTCCCTCCTTCCCCCCGCTCGCGGCCGCTTCCTCCCCCTCCCTTTCTCCAACCTTTGTCAGGAGGGGAAGGAACACACAGACACAATGAATCGTCGATCCCCAAGAGAAGTTGGGAACAGATGAGAAGTGGAGGAAGACAAGAACCCCAGAGAACAGAGGAAACTAACTATGTGTGTGCCCCTGGGCCCCCTTGATCTATGTGTATCTATGTGTGCGTCCCTGGGCCCCCTTGATCTTGCTCCTGCACCCTTCGCCATGCCGTCCCATGGGCCTCCTTGCCTGAGCGCGCGTGCGGCCTGCCCCGGCCGCGCCGCGACGTGAAAAGTCCGTCGTGTGCCTCTTTCGCGACGCCGCGAGGCCTGGGCACTGGGTCGAAGTCGGGCCCGTCCCTCTGCAGGAGGAACATTCAAAAATGATAAAACATAGTCTGGGGACGATGTGCTAGGTTGTGTTTGATTATGTTTGGTGCTTTCTCCCTCTCTCCCTCTATATATATATAAACTATGCTCGATGCTTCGTCCGAAATCCCCCTGTACGGGGACACGCCCGACCTAAAGCCTGGGCCTGGGCCGAGAGGTGGGCGCCACGCCCGCGGCGGGCGGCCCGCGGGGGTCGGCGGGAGTGGCGCGGGCGCCGGTCTGAGAGGCAATTGCCTCTCGCTGCTCTCCGCTTAATCCGGCTTAATTGCGCTCAATCCCGCTTAATCCGGCTTAATCCCGCGAAGTCCGAGACCCACTCCGGCGTAATAGCTCCCAAATGGGGCTTAATCCTCCTTAATATTTCCGGTAGGTGCCTCCTAATACTATATGTGCGTCGCCCCCGCCTGGGGCGATGCGCGCACCGAGAAATCTTATAGTGTATGCGTCGCGGCGGGCGCTTTCTGGCCACACCGCTCGGGAAACGATCTGCTGCAAGATGGGTATGCTATATGTTCGGGTCGGACGCGACAGGTCTCGGCTTGCAGCCCTGCTCCCCGCTCCCTGCTCCCTGCTCCCGCAGGCAGAGCACGTCGGAAGGGCCCTCGGCATGCGCGACTGCGGTCGAGCCCGTGCCCACCACCACCGCTCCCACGTCTCGGCTTGCAGCCCGGGGGCGAAGCGAGAGCGGGCGGCCCGTCGATCGACTACACGTACACACTGTTCATTTCTCATTCTTCGGAGTTTCTTTGATTTTCGTTGGGGGCCAAGATCATTTCATTTCTAATTGTTCTATCCCGGGCCTCTTCCTGGCCACTGGGGGGCCACGAACAATTAGAAACGAGCACAATTAGAAATGAGCACGATTAGACATGAACGACGTGTGAGAGTGGCCCTTCGCCAGAGTGGCCCTTCGGTGCGGGCTCACCGGGGCCCTCCTTGTCGCTGAGCGCGAGGCGGCAGTGGCGTCCTGCGCGCTGGGGTTTGGCCACTTTGCGTGCCCTCAGCTCGCGCACCAAAGGTCACGCTTGCCCATGGTCACTTTTGCGTGTAGCCGACAGGAGTGCCGACGTCGTGGACACAAGGTCGGTCGATGTTCGACCGATCGACGACGACGGCGACGACGACGCCCTGCGCCCCCTTAGCCCGCGCAGTAAAGGTCACCGCTGTCCAGGGTCGCTCTCTTGCGTGCAGCCGAGCCTCGGCCACGGCGAGCTGGTCCCCCGACCGGCCCGAGCCCCGCCCGAACCATGGGGGCCCAGACCCCCTCGAGGCATGAAGAGATCACGATGGGCCGACGTTCCACCACCACTGTCATATTAGGTAGGAGAGTGTGGAGGAGGTAGAGGAGGTAGAGGAGGAGGAGGAGGAGGAGGAGGAGGAGGAGGAGAAGGTGGAGAAGGAGGAGGAGGAGGAGGAGGAGGAGAGGGAGGAGGAGGAGGAAGAGGAGGAGGAAGAGGAGGAGGATCAGGATAGGGAGAAGAAGGAGGGCCTCCCCATCTCCCGTCCTACATATGGTAGCGGTGGTGGAAAATGGCCCACCCAACCACGGCGGGCGGTTTCTCGCTGCTCTCGGCCTCTGGGGACCCCTATACCTGGCCTTCGGGGCCGTCAGAAACGCCGACGCGGAATGAAAGACCGGTCTTGGGGGAAGGGGTCGGCACCTATTGGGTCGGAGGCTGCCAGAAGGGTTCGTTGGACAAGGTTGGTTTCGCTGGACTCGAGGTCTCTCCAGCCCGACCTTAGGTACTCAAGCACAACCTGAGGCGACCCAGCAAGCGTCGAACTCACCCTTCTTGAACCAGACCTTCTCGCCGTCCTCGATTGGGGTCGGCGTCGTCAAGACGTCCTGGCGTCGGGGGTGTGGGGCCCGAGCCCCCCGGAGTGGCCCCCTCGCCTGCGGCGCCCTCTGGCCGTGGGTCGCCGTGCGGCCCGAAGGCCGCGGGCCCGGGGGAGGCCCCGCCGCGGGGGTCGGTGCCCCCCTCGGGCCCCCGGGGGCGGCGGGGGGCCCGGCCGTGGTGGCGCGGGGGGGGGGGGGGGGCTCCGCGGGCGGAGGCCAGCGGACAGCCCGGGGAAGCATGGGTCTCTAGGCCTCCTACAACCCTCGGCAAAATTAACCTCAAAAATGTCTGACGTGGTTGAACTGCTTGTCGGAAGATCTGGGGCCGAGTATCGATGAGTGCGGGGTACCTGCATGCGCCGGCCCTCCAATGTGGGTCGACGTCAAACTTTCGAGTCAACTTCGGTCAGACTATCTCTGCCCTCGCCCCGACATTGAAGGGGCGGCGTGTCGACATTGAGGGGCGCGCCGAAATCGAAATGACGTGCCAGCAACTGTTGATGCTAATTTTGACGAGGGTAGTAGATGGCGTCGGAGTTGATGAGGTCGGAGGATCGCGCCGCATCGCTGATGCATCGACGATGCGGCTCGATGCGGAGCCCGATTTTCTCCACGCCGGCGTCGCCGATGCACCGCCCACGTCGATGATGTATCGCCGGTGCATCACCAATGCATCGCCGATTCATCGCCGATGCATCGCCGATGTATCGGCGATGCGGCGCCATCCTCCGACCCCATCCACTCCGACCCCATCTAGGAGGCCTCTAGGGTCGGGGCGAGGGGTATAAGATCGAGGTCGTGTCGGGGAGGGCACCCTGACGTCAAGTGGGGCGCGTCCTGCTCCAGGAGGAGTATTCGAGAGCAGTCAATACACAGTCTGGGGACGACGTTTCGTGCCTTTTTGATGATTTTTGGTTTGTTGGCCATGTTTTATTTTTCTTCCAAAATCCCCCTTTAGAAGGCCATGCCCATCTTTGCCATAACGTTATTCGTGTCTGTTGGATGTTCTTGTGCAGCCTGTGGCGGCTACCCTTTGATGTTCTGTGCTTTTCTGGCCGGCGGGGGGTCTCGTGTTCTCGAGGGGTGCTCGTCAGGCCTGGGTCCGACTGTGAGCAATCGACCCACGATGAGTCCCAGAGCCCATCGGGTTGTGAATCAAGAAAGGGCACGACGGAGAGTTTTTCGCTGCTCTTGGTCTTGCCAGGGGGTTCGAACGCTCCCCCCAGGCGCGCCAGAATCTCTGGCACGCCCCACCCTGCTATGACCACAGATGTCGCCTCCGTGTCCGAGTCTCTGCGACGGAGGGGCCTGCCTCAGGCCCACTCCGGGCGCTCGAAGGTTTCAGGCAGCGGCTGCGCAGGGCGCGGTGCTCCTAAAGAGAACCTTCGGGCGCAGTGCTCCCCCTTCCTCGTTTCGCTTCTTCCTCCCTCCTTAATTTCCCCACCGGTTCCTCCCCTTCCGTCTCCGCCGCCTCTTCCCTTTATGTCTGACGCCGTGAGAGTTCGTATTGCGGCGAATAGGGCTGAGGCGTTGCGTCGGATGTGGGAGCGAGCGGCTGAGCAGTGTAGGCTACCGACCAGAGCTTGAGCTTGTTCGGTCCACCTCCAGAGTTTCCTCCTCGGGTGCCAAAAGACAAGGTGCAGGCAGATTTACACATGTGGCAGCTCGTGATAGTGGCGCTCATGAAGGGGATATGGGGCTTAGGATAGGAGCGGGAGGATGGAGGTAACGTTTCTGTTTTGTGCGAGCCTCTCAAAGGCAGGTTGTCTGTCTCGCGGGCGCCTTCCAGAGGCAGGCGGGGGGCAGTGAGCAACTGATTGGTCCATTGCTGGGGTTGCCCCAAGAATGGCCCCGTTGGCGTTGTCCCTTCGTCGCCCTAAGCATGCGAGCCTCCTGGCATTGCGGATTTAAGAATATTGTTTCCCGCTGCTTCTTTACATTATATATAATGTATATGTCTCTCTCCCTCTCTCTCTCTTACCAGCCTCTGTTCGACTGTGCAGGCGCAGGCCCCACCTGCGACACCCTCGGCCGCACTCCTTGCTGTCTGATCTGAGGCACCAGCTCTGTGGTGCAATGGGCGGTGGGCAGGCAGTGGAGCACAGGAGTGGGAGGATGGAGGCAACGCTTCTGTCTTAGAGCGCCCGGGAACACGCCAGAACCCCTTCAGGACAGGACCTCCCGCCCTCCCTCTTTTCCTCCTCGTTCCTCTTCCTCCTCCCCGGCGCAGCCCGTGGGCGGCAAGCACGTCCATATCCGCGGCGTCGCGAGCTGGGCCCCCTGGACCGAGACCCTTCGGATACGGGGCGTGTCTGTCGCAGGTGCCCCGCGCGGGGCTGCGTGACCGCGCGCATCGACGGGATCGCGCCCCGGTGTCCAGACCGCGTGGGCATGGATGCGGACATGCTCGCCGCCCGTGAGCAGACGCCGCGAGCATCCGACAGCTCTTCCCTGCTCCTCCCGAGGACGTTCCTGAACCCAGGCTGGCTGAGGCACCTGCAGCTGCAGTGCGAGAACTGCTCGCAGCTCAGCCGCGTCGCCATCAGGCCGCTGACCCTGGACCCCAGCTGCAGGGGCCTGGAGAAGGAGGGCCGCCGCAGAGAAGGGAGGAGGAGGAGGAGGAGGAGGAGGAGGAGGATATGAGGAGGCACTGGGGGAAGAGAGGACCCCAGACCTCACCAGATACGGATATATCAGCCGCTCCTTACGTCCTCCCTTTTTGGTTCTCCCTCGCCCCTCCCTTGCTCCTCGATGCCGGCGCTGCTGTGCGCTTTTAAAAGACATGCGATTGTTGTCGCACTGCGGTTTCTCTGGGGCGGTGCTTCGTTGAAGTGAACGACCAGAAACCCAGACCTCCCCCGATTTCTTTATCAAGCCGTTCATCAAATGGCCGGGAATGAAACCGAACGCGTTTTAAGTTTGACACGGGCTGGCTCATTTGCATGGCATTGCGCCCTCCCCCTCTCTGCTGCCTTTTCAAACAGCGCTGGGCCGAAGAGGCATGCAAGTTGGTCCTGGCTTGCGCGAAGTCCAGATGATTTTCTTGCGGGCCTCGCCGCGCACTCCCCCTCCTCTGGTAAGCAGATTTGCCTAAGTCTCAAGCAGTCAGTTATTGCCCCTTGCTCGATCATCAAGATGTAAGCTGTTCGACCGTGGGGGGCGCGTTGCCTGGTTTCTGGAACCGTTCAAAACCTCTGCTGTGAAACACCGTTGTTTGGTGAAGCCGTCCAGGCTTGGGGGATGGAGACCGACGTCGTACTGTTTGTCAGCGCGTGTTCCCAGGTTCAACACCTTTCCGGAGATCGGTTGTTCTCTCCAGATTGTTGTTTCATTGCCCCATGAGACCGAAAACGGTTTGCGGGAGGAAGAAATCCGGAGTTGGAAAAACATCATGGCGTCGGATGATTGGTCATTTTCTTTCTCCTCCTCCTCGCCCTCATAATCGACCTTTAGACCTGTCCCGAGATGAGCTCTGGCCATAATTTTGAGGGGAATCGGGCCTTGATGACAAGGCGCCCCAGGAGCCCCTAAAACGTCGAGAAGCATGGAACCCTGATCCTCGATCCCTCGATCCTGGCTCCCTCGACTGAAGAGGGGGCCCGCCTCGAGACCTCTGGCGACTCGTTGAATTCCATCCCCTCCGCGCCCCGGTCCTCTCAATACAGCAGTTGACGATCTCAAACCTGTGATGTATGTGATAGCTTGTTTCGCAGGCGCTCTGTGGTGAGCTTTCGCCGGCTTCGCCGGCTCGTCAGTCGGACTGAGCAAAAATAGCTATGGCACGGCCCTCCCTCTTGCCGGCACGCGCGCGCAGGAGCGAAGAGGGGGGTGGAGTGGAAGAAGATATTTTCTGTCAGAGCCCCGAATCATCAGGGGTAACTCGGGCCAGGGCTAACTCGGGTTCCTGTTTCGGGAATCCAAACCCGAGTTACCCCGGACCCGAGTTACTCAGGAGGAAAAGAAACACACAGACACAATTAATCCTCGATTCCCCAGAAAATATGGGAAAATATGGGAAGTGGGGGGAAGACAGAAACCCAGAAAATATTTATCCATATATGGGGCATATTTTTATTTGTGTGTATTTATTTGTGTGTCCTGGGGCCCCTTCAGTTACCCCGGATACCTCGGGCGCCCAATTCTGCCTGCGCCGCTCCATTCCGCGGACCCCCTCCGCGTCCCGAGCCGCCCCTGGAAGGGCCTCATGCGCCCGGAGGCGGCCGCCGGCGCGCGGACAAGGGGCCTCGTAGGACGGGGGGGTCCGTGCGAGCCGGGGGTCCGCCAGGGCGCCCGCTCCTGCAGGATCCTGCAGAGCCATCTGGGGAGGAAGAGGTACCCATACTACGGGATGGCGATTCATAAAAAAAAGGGGGAGAACGATTAATTAAAACAAATAGTTGTCTGCTCTTTCTGCACAATTTTCTGACTGGAGGAGAACGATTAAAAAAGATAGTGTTCCTGCCCGCGGCCGGTTTTTTCTAATCGTCATCCCGGGCGCCGCCGCGTGAACACAACCCCCGGTCATTTATTAATCGTCATCCTCCATTACTTCTACCCTTCGCACGTTGTCCCCCCCGTGGGCCTCCTGGGAGGCCCTCGTCGCCACCGCTGGATTCGCCTCGAAATCCTGGTCAGAACGCACCCCGGGAGAGGTCCGGGGAGTAGCGGTATCGGTACCTTCTGGTTTCCCCAAGCCAGGGGTGCACTGATCTAGGCGTCCCAGGTGGGGTCGGAGGATCGCGCCGCATCGCCGGTGCATCGGCGATATGCGGCTCGATGTGGAGCCCGATCTCCGTCACGTCGGCATCGCCGATGCATTGCCGATGCATCGCCGATGCACCGCCATGGCATCGCCGATGCATCGGCGACGCGGCGCGATCTTCCGAACCCGAAAGGCGGACCCCATCTAGGAGGCCTCTGATTGACCCTGGCCAGCGCGCGGGATCTTGCAGGATCCTGCAGGATGTTACAGGATCTTGCAACACCAGACACGTTGCTCATTTCTAATGATCCGGAAGTTCGTTGATTTTAGGGGGGGCGACGCTCCTTTCCTTTCCGATGGTTCTGTCCTGGGCCTCCTCCTGGCCACCGGGGGGGCCAGGAACCATTCGAAACGAGCAGAACTAGAAACGAGCACGATTAGAAATGGACGGCGTGTAGACCCCGGGTCGGTGCGCCCCCGAGCGAAGAATGCACCACGGCGTCGGGCTCGTGCTTCCAGGCCGCCCCCAGGGGGCGCGACGTCGGCCGCGCCCCACGCCGCGCGGCCGGGGCTCGGGGAGCTGACCCTCTCCAGCGCGGTGGCGCGAGCTGCGCCACGATCGTCGCGCGTCGCGCAGCACGGGGCGCGAGCTGCGCGGAGCGGGGCGACCGGTAGAGGATGAATCGCTCCAGAGGGTTCCAAGACGCTCTCAGAGCGTCCCAGAACGCGCTGGGACCGGCCGCGGCGCCCGAGGCGTCCTCCAGGACCGCCGGGCCCATGAGATTCCCGATGGATCCTCATCCGGCTTTCCTGTGCTCGTCCTGCTTGCGTCTCCCCTGGATGTCCTCGAGCCCTCGGAGTTCGAGTCGTCTCTTGGACAGCCCCAGGGCACGACAAGGGCGCCTCGGGGCCGAAAGTGCAGGACAGCATCGAATTTGGTTTCTCGATCACAAGGGGGGGAAGGGAGGAAGAGGAGGAGGAGGAGGAGGAGGAGGAGGAGTCGGAGGAGGAGGCTCGGAGGATTTGGAGAAAGGAGGAGGAGGAGAGGAGGAGAGGAGGAGAAGGAGGAGGAGGAGGAGGAGGAGGAGTGGGGAGGAGGAGGAGGAGGAGGAGGAGGATCAGGACCAGGGGCAGGAGGAGGAGCAGGGGCAACGCTCGGTCCGGTCAGGTGGGATAGGCTCGGGGGGGGATGCATCGACCCCAATTGGCCCTTGATCGCCGATAGGAGCCCGATAGCCCACCCTGACCAGGACCGTGCGGATTCGCAATCGGAGTCTGTCGCCGACGCATCGGCGATATATCATCGATTCCAGGTCGATGCTTCCCCCATGAGACGGCCCCCCCTCCCCCTAAAGTTACGCAGGAGGAGGAGGAGGAGGAGGAGGAGAAGAGGAGGAAGATGACAGAGGAGGAGGAGGAGGAGGAGCAGGAGGAGGGAGGAGGGGGAGGAGAGGAGGAGAGGAGGAGGAGGAGGAGGAGCAGCAGCAGAAGGAGGAGGAGCAGCAGGAGGAGGAGGAGGATCGAGGCGCGAGGCTCTATGCTTGCTGCCTTCGGGGTAGAGGATCGAGGTCCGAGGCTCGAGGCTCGAGCTCCGTGGCCCGAGGCTCGAGGCTCGCGGCTCGAGGCTCGCGGCTCGAGGCTCGAGGATCGAAGATCGAAGATCGAGGCTCGAGGCTCGAGGATTGAGGCTCGAACCTCGATGTTCTACCCCCAAGGCATCAAGCCCGCGCCTCCTCCTCCTCCTCCTCCTCCTCCTCGTGGTCCTCCTCCTCCTCCTCCGCATCACATCATATTCAACATCATCAACATCATCATGCTCCCGTATCCTCATCATCATCATCATCATACATCATCATCATCATCATCATCATCACATCAGCATCACATCATCATCATCATCCCCCTCCTCCGCCTCCTCCCCTCCTCCTCCTCCTCCTCCTTCGTGGCCGGCGGGGGCGCCGCAACAGGAGTCCCTGGCCACCGCGACGGCGGCGGCGTGGCACGGCGAGATGCCCGCGCCGGGCCCGGGCGGGGTGGACATGGCGAGCAGCGGAAGCGAGCCTTGGGCGGGTTCTTAAGCTTCTTCCTCCTCCTCCTCCTCCTCCTCCTCCGCTTCCTCCTCCTCCTCTCCTCCTCCTCCTCCCGCCTCCTCCTCCTCATCCTCCGCCTCCTCCTTCCTCCTCCTCCTCCTCCTCCTCCTCCTCCACCTCCTATAAGTCCTGCCGAACCACCTCCTCCGCCTCCTTGCAAGTCCTTCAAGTCCTCCTCCTCCTTCCTCCCTCCTCTCCCCTCCTCCTCCCTTCTGCTCCTCCTCCTCCCCCTCCACCGCCTTCCTCCTCCTCCTCCTCCTCTTCTCCTTCCATCCTCGCTCCCTCCAAGGTCCTCCGAGCCTCATCCTCCTCCTCCAAGTCCTCCGAGCCTCTTCCTCCTCCTCCTCCTCCTCCTCCTCCTCCTCCTCCTCCCATCACTTTGCACGAGGCCTACCCGCCGCAACACCAGACGTGTCAGAAAGGCGGGCCGGGCGTTTCGCCTGAGATTCCCCCGCCATTGATGATCCTGAAGCGTGAAGTTTGCAACATGGTCAAGGATGGAGGGCGGCAGGTTCTCAAAACGTGGCTCGCCCTGTGGAGGCCCTGTCGAACGACCGATGGATGCAGATCAGTATCGTGGGACGATCGCGCCGCCGTTCTCGCAAAGCGGTGCTCGGCCAGTTCTCATTGGCCACAGAGCCCTGTCCTATGTGATATACATATCTTCAATGTATTCCAGCATTTTCGCTGGCATGGGAAGAATCAGTGTGCTCATGCATGGCCTGGTTAACGTATGTGCGTGCTTAAACGTCAGGTAGTATTATGTAACTTGCAATTCGGATCGGGAGTGTATCTGCGCAGCTTCAGGTCGACGTACGTGATGCAGCGGTGTAGAATAATAGCGTATGTTTATGTTGCACGAATCCACGCGTCTAGGGAGTGTGACGATCTCGGTAATTCTTACTGCCCCCAGAGAGGCGCAGCCTGTGGATACCGTCTATACGGTGGGGAGCTGTTGGATCGCGTGTCGCCCCGCCAGTTCTGGCCCACCACGCTGCGGCGCGATACGCTGTCCACATCCCAGTCCCCAGGCGTCAATGTCCCGGGTCTTTTCGACCGCTCCGCGGAGCGGAGCGACACGCCATCCGTTTGCCTGGCAGGGCACGTCGCCAGGGCCGCCGCCGCGACACGCCCGGCAACGGTTCCCGACCGCAGGAGTCTTCGTCCTCAGCTAGGGGACCAGACAATGACAGAAGCATAAAAACTCGGAGGCCCGTGCGGATTTCTCGGATCGGCGCTGGGGCCCCCTGGCGGCGCCTCCGGCGCCGCCCCTGGCGCGCTCCGCGCGCCAGGGAGGGGATCCAGCGCGGATCCAAGAAATCCGCGCGGACCTCCGAGTTTCTATCTTTATGTCATTGTCTGGTCCCCTATCAACTTTTTATGTCATGCCATGTCATTATGTTTATGTCATTGTGTGATCCCCTATCAGCTTTTATGTCATTGGCTGGTCCCCTATCAGCTGTTTCTGTCTTTATGTCATCGTTTTTAGGTTTATGCCACTTTTCGTTCCCCTCTCAGCGCAGCGGAGGCCGCTGAGGTCTCGGGCGTCCACCTCGGAGTGCTAGCAGGCCTTGCCAGGGCCGCGCGGCCCGCGCGCGCGGCGGCACCGGCGCCCCACTTGCCCAGGCAAGATCGCGGAGGTCGTCCGGCAGCAGCGCGAGGGGAAGCGAGAGAGTCGTGCGCCGCGCTCAGGTGTCTGTGGCGTCCGCTGCCGAAGTCGCCGCTCCACCCCGCTCTCCAGTAGATGGACAGTACATTCGAACCCTCACACATTCGAGGGAGATTCTAAATCACCCCCGCGCCCCCGATATCAATGTTGATCTCAGTAAAGGCGGTGCTTTGAGGTTCGAATATATCTGTCCACTCACGCCCCCCCCGTCGCCACGCCATCAATATTAATTTCGGGGGGTCGGGGGGGGCATCTTGGGCCACAGGGTTCGAGTGTAATGTCCATGTACGGTCCCTGTCTGCGCCTGCAAGCTGCTGGCACCTGCGGGGAGCAGGCGGGCGTTCGAGGATCGGGCGCCCCAGTCGAGGTGCCAGGTGTTCGGCATGGTTCTGGGGATCAGCCTGGGTTGATTTGCTTCCCCCATGTGAGGGAAAACAAATCGGCCTTGAGCCGCTTTGATTTCGACAAATGTGAGGCTCCAATGGAGAGTACAATATTGTCTTATCTGCGTCTGACACCCTGTACAACCACATGCGGCATGGAAGGTGTCCACTTTGCCTCCCCCCTCGCATATCGGATCACTAGCTGCTCTGTACCAGTCTGTCAGTTTCGGTTGCCCTGCGGATCGCGCATTCTTTTCAAGCGGCCCGAGATCAAACTGACCTTTGTTCAATTCTGACGAGCTCCTCGTTTGACCCACCATGCTTCGAGCTAGACTTTGAGCCAGACTGGAAGACCTTTTCGTGAGGAAGTATTGCAGAAGTCAGGCCCCCGTGGCATCGCCAGGGTCAGAGTCGCCGGCACGGTTCTGGAAGACGGTCGTGCCGTCGCGGGCCGACGCAGAGGCACCGCCCTGCAAGATCCCGGAGCAGGGGCCGTGCTACGGCTTCGCAGAGGCGTCCTTGGCGCTGGGCCTTCCGACCGGGGACCTGGGCGCGGGCGCCGACGGCAACGGCATAGTCTACAAGGAGACCTGCCGCATGCCTCCGTCGGGGGAAGGGGAGGAGGAGGAGGGGGAGGAGGAGGAGGAGGAGGAGGAGGAGGAGGAGGAGGAGGAGGAGGAGGAGGAGGAGGGGAGGAGGAGGAGGAGGAGGAGGAGGAGGAGGAGGAGGAGGAGGAGGAGGAGGAGGAGGAGGAGGAGGAGGCACCACCACCTTTGCACGCCGAGGAAGGCAAGAACCGTTCCTCGCACGCTCGATGGCCCGACCATCGGAGGGTTCAACACACGAAGGGGCAATCGCATCTGCGATATCGCGTTCTCGATGGGTTGGAGAGGCCTTGCTATATACATATATGTATGTATGTACGTACGTATGTATGTATATGTGTGTATGTGTGTCGGAGGTTGGGGGGTTGGAACGGAAGTGACACCAACCGGGACATCGGTTTCCGTTTCGGTTCGTGTCGTGCGTGCGGGCGAGGCGAAGGTGCGCGAGTTCCATCCTCAGTAGAAGCCATCTATTGCCACAAGGGCTTGCCCTCGAGCGATGGCCGTTGCCCCGGGTTGTCCCTGCGGTTGTCCGAGTGGTTGTCCCGATGGTTGTGGTTGTCCCGATGATTGTCCTGATGGTTGGATGGTTGTCCCGATGGTTGTCTTGATGTTTGTCCTGCTGGTTGATAGATAGATTCAAAAAAGGTAGATCGATAGATAGGTAAGTAGGTAGATAGATAGATATGGTTGTCCCGATATTGTCCTGGGATGGGCGCGAAACGCATGCGAATCGTAAATGTTGCAAAACGTTTCGCGCAAAGCGTATCGCGCGCGATACGCACGATACATAGTTTGAAAGAGAGCTCGTTCGATATATATATATATATATATATATATGTATATATATATATGAAAATACAAGACCGCATTTGCGCTGCGCGCCATGCACCTTGGTCCTTTGAATTCTGCACGCATGCGGAATGCGTGCGTGCGTACATGCGCGCATGCATGTATACACGCGCACGTGCATGCACGTTCCGTATAAATGTCTAGGTGTATAATATATATATATATATATATATATATATATAGTATTGCATTGTTGTATGTGTATACAGCGTACAGTTGTACATAAAAGTTGAGGTGTGTAAGGGTATTAACATGCATATGCAACTCGTACGGGGCATCCTCGGGCATCTTCGCTGCACGCCACGAGACCCTCAAAGACTGGGTCACAATGTGAAATGTCACGGGAGCAAAATCAATAAATGTTGGCATTCGGAAACATCGTGGGGGTGTTTTCGGGGCCCTCGTGGGCCGTTTTGGCGCCTTCATGGGCCGTCCTGGGGCCTTCTTGGGCCGTCTTGGGGAGCTTGGGCCCGCTGGAGCCCCCTTTGGACCCATCTTGGGCACTTCCGGGGCCTCCCATGGCCCGTCTGGGTCTGTGCTGGGAGCCCTTGGGGGGCATCTTGGTTTCATTATGGGCTGTCTTGGGGCTCTCGTGGGCGATCGTGGGGCCCGGCTCGGCCGTCTTGAAGCTTTCTAAGGGGCCTTATGGGGCGTCTTGAGGCGATCTCGGAGGCTTTGAAACCGTCTTGAAAGCTGATGAAATCCGAAAGGCGAATATGCTAAAATTGTAAGTTTTACGGCGGGAACGAGACGATTTTTGTGCTTGAAAGGCCCCTTGGAAAGCTTTTTGGGGTGCCCTGGGTGTCTTTATGTTGTCATTCGGAAACATCGTGGGGGTGTTTTCGGGACCCTTGTGGGCCGTTTTGGCGCCTTCCTGGGCCGTCCTGGGGCCTTCTTGGGCCGTCTTGGGGAGCTTGGGCCCGCTGGAGCCCCCTTTGGACCCATCTTGGGCACTTCCGGGGACCTCCCATGGCCCGTCTGGGTCTGTGCTGGGAGCCCTTGGGGGGCTTCTTGGTTCCACTATGGGCTGTCTTGGGGCTCTCGTGGGCGATCGTGGGGCCCGGCTCGGCCGTCTTTACGCTTTCTAAGGGGCCTTTTGGGGCGTCTTGAGGCGATGTCGGGGGCTTTGAAACCGTCTTGAAAGCTGATGAAATCCGAAAGGCGAATATGCTAAAATTGTAAGTTTTACGCCGGGAATGGGACGAAATTGTGCTTTACAGGCCCCTTGGAAAGCTTTTTGGGGTGCCCTGGGTGTCTTTATGTTGGCATTCGGAAACATCGTGGGGGTGTTTTCGGGACCCTCGTGGGCCGTCTTGGGGAGCTTGGGCCCGCTGGAGCTCCTTTGGACCCATTTGGGGCACTTCCGGGGACCTCCCATGGCCATTTCGGGTCTGTGCTGGGAGCCCTTGGGGGGCTTCTTGGTTCCATCATGGGCTGTCTTGGGGCTCTCGTGGGCGATCGTGGGGCCCGGCTCGGCCGTCTTGAAGCTTTCTTGGGGGCCTTTGGGGCGTCTGGAGGCGATCTCGGGGGCTTTGAAACCGTCTTGACCCCTTGAGAAGCTTTTTGGGGTGCCTTGGGGGTCTTTTGGGCCGTCCTGATGCAATTGGAGTCCCTCTTGGAGCGCTCTTGTGCTGTCTGGGGCCTCCCTTGAGCCTTTCTGATGACCCCTCGGATCGCTCCGGGTCTGCTGGCAAGGCGTTTGTGGAGACCCGGAAAGCCGGGTGACCTTTTCCAAGGACGTCCAAGGGAGCCCGAGAACCCCAGATCCCGGGGGTCCAGTTTTTTTGGGGGGGATAATTTTCCCCCCCTCGGGGTTGTAAACATATAGGAAGAGGAATATATATATATATATATATATATATATATATATATATATATCAGCATCGAAAGATATATCGGTACGCATATAGACAGATAGGCAGGTGTACGCATACACATATATACAAACATCTATATATATGTATATATATATACACACCAGCAGACATCGCTATATATATAAAAATAGATATGGAGATAAACAGATCGATCTATATATATATATATACATATGTAAAGATATATGGTTGTCCTAACTACATAGTTAATGAGATAGATAGTTCGATAGATAGATTGGCAGATGTGCGCGGCAATCGGAAAGTTGAAGAAACCACCACAGAACCAAGAGCCATCGCACATCGCCCGCCTCCCCTTTCCCCCCAAACCTATAGACTATAGACCCGGTCAAACGCCGATGCGGAGGTTGGGGTGTGTGCGAAATCAAAGACGGGACAACCATCAGGAGAACCGTCTACAGCCATCGAACAGCCTCAATCGGTCTCACGATCTATCGGTCGCAATCTCTATCGATCGATCTCACGATCAATGTATGTACACACAAATATCACGATCTAGTTATCGATCGCACGGTCCATCAGACTCACTACCAGAATCAGTATCGACCTCACTATCCATCGATCTCATTTTCTATCGGTCGATCTTATTACCGATCCATCGAGACAACCATCGAGACAGTCAGCACATGTGTTGTTTCGTTTGGCGCCGAGCGAATTGGTTCCTGATATCCAGCGGGACAGCCGTCGGGACAACCATCGGGACAACCATCGGAACAATCATTGATTCAACAATCGGGACAACCATCGGGACAACCATCGGGACAACCATCGGAACAGCCATCGGGACACACATCGAGGCAATTGTCGGGGCAACCATCGCGACAACCTTCGGGACAAGCATCGGGACACTCATCGGGACCACCATCGGGACAACCGTCGTGGCAACCATCGGGCAACCACAGGACAAAGGGACAACGGCGGCACAATCACAGAGCAACTAGTGGACAACCGCGGGACAACCGCGGGCCTAAATCCGCCAACCCAACGGGGGAGAGTCGGTTGCGTCGATTTCGTATTGGCCATGGCGGGACCACCCTTCTTTCCCGCGCACGCAACGTCGCTTTGCCAGTGGTTTTGTTTCACTTCGATCTCGCCCCAGCAAAGGCCGAATAACTCTTCGTGTATCTCCACCAGCCCATCCAAAACAGATCTTGGCGAAGGGCCCTTCCATATGCAGGCGTGAATACCGCGAGGCAGGTGAGACGAAAGAAGGGGAGCTCCCGATGGGACAACAAGCGTGTGATGGGTGTGCCAAACTGGGGCCTTGCCGCCGTGTTGTCGCTGGCGCTTGCGCCGTTGGTGAGGCTCCTGGGGAAACTCAACGAGTGCAGTGTGCGCCACAGCGGGGAAATGCCACCATGCGGGCGCAGCCACAAAACGTGTGAGGGGTGTCCCGAAATCGGCGCGGTGCTGCCTTAGGAGCCCTGCTTGTGGAGCTCCATGGGGAGCCACGAACGAAGCGTGTGCGGGGTGCGCCGAAATGGGCGCGGTGACACATGCGAACGCAGCAAATTGGGCCGTCGGTGGAGCTCCCTATGAAGCCACGAAGCGTGTGAGAGGCGTGCCGAAATGGGCGCGGCGACGCCATCCGAACGCAGCAATTGTGGCCGTCGGCGGAGTTCCCTATGGTGCCACGAAACCTGTGACGGGGTTGCCGGAATGTGGTGCGGTGCCGCCTTGCGAACGCAGCCATTGGGGCCTTCGGCGGAGCTCCCTACGAGGCCGCGAAGCGTGTGAGGTGGTTGCCCGAGTGGGCGCGGCGACGCCATGCGAACGCAACAATTGGGGCCTTCGGCGGAGCTCTTTATGGGGCGACGATACGTGTGTGGGGGTGCGCCGAAATCGGTGTGGCAACGCCATGTGAACGCATCAACTGGGGCCTTCCACAAAGCTCACTATGAAGTCAAGGAACGCGTGAGGTGTGTGCCGAACTCGATGCGGCGACGGCGTGCGAGCGCAGCTATTGGCGCCTTCGGCGGAGCCCCTGATGGGGCCACGAGGCGTGTGAGGGGTGTACCGAAATATGCACGCGGAGGACAGGGGCAGGGATGGGGAGGAGGGAGGAGGGAGGAGGGAGGAGGGAGGAGGGAGAGGAGAGGAGGAGACGCGGGGCGCTGCTGATTCGAAGCGGGGACCCAACACCCCAGGATGGTCGGGAACAATCACCAGGCGAGTTGCATTGATCAGGGATGTGTGGCAGCATGCAGTCAAGCTCTGGGATCATATTGGAGGC